TACACAAGCGACTGCCCCCACCTTGGTGACACTGTGTTAAGACAACAATGATGGAGTCCCCAGAGGAAGCAAAGGGCACCCACATTTCTCAGCCCACGTGCTTCTCCCAAGACCCCCACCCAGCCCCACCCTCAGATTCCTACAGGTGCCTTTGGGTCTCCAGGGGTCTCCGGTCTCCCCAAGGCCACATACAAACTGGTTCAAACCACATTTTTAGGGATTGAGCCGGGTTTACCACCTGTCACACACACCTTTTCCCTGAGTCATTCTGAATCTTGGTGTTTGCTGTTGTTTTTTTTCTTTAATTATCATACATGATTGAACAAACAGAAATGGATCCAGGGAACCCAAGGGACAATGACAGGAGTGTTATGGCCAGCCAAGCATGCAAAGTCCCGAGGACCAGAAGGGAGAAGGGGACAAGACCCCTCAAAATGGAGGAAACACCATTTTGTCCATAAAGCAGTGAGGGTGGTTCCAAACCGTCACATGCAGAAAACCAAAACTCACCTCCAGTCTTAGCGAAATCAACTGGAGATGCACAGAAGACAAATGACAGGCCAGAAGCCAAAATACTCATGGAACAAAACGTGGGGGGAGTTCTCCTGTGACTCTGAACAGCATGTTGGGGATAGGACACCTCGATAGGACACAGCGCACACAGGTGAGAAAGACGATCTGTGAGATGGCAGGAAACACAAGCCGCATGTCAGAGGGACTCAGCAACTGAAATGTAAGGTATGTCTGCAGCTCTGCCACCAAGGCAGCACCATCAACAGCACCATCATCTGATCTTAAAAAGGGCAATGGACCTATGTGGGGCATCATCCCAATGGACCCACGTAGGGTATTATCCCAACGGACCCAAGTAGGGTACTAACCCAACTGGCCCACATTGGGTATTATCTCAATGAATCCAAGCGGGGTATTATCGCAACCAGATCACATGGGGTATTATCCTAACCTGCTCACAAGGGGTATTGTCCCAAAGGACCCATGAATGCTATCCCAAAGATATTCAAACTCACTAGGAGAAACACTGGGAAAGGCATTAATCAGAGGAAAGCAAAACAAGAAGCTGGCAGTCCATCCTGTCAGCATGGCCCTTGGCAAACAGACACTCAATAACAGACTGGCAGGGATGCGGAAGAAGGGAATTTAGGTGCACAGTGAGTGCAGATGTAAACATGCATGGCCCTTCAGGTAAACAGTGCAGGGTCTCCTCCAAAAATAAAAACAGACCAACCATAGGTGCAAGGAACTCCACTCTGAGGATGTCCCAAGAAGACAAAAGTGCCGTGGAAAGGGGCTCTGCAAGCCCACGTCACAGCCACCTACACCAGCCAAGACACGGATGCAACTGAGTGCCCAGAGGGGAGCCTGAGTAAAGGAATGGGGTGCGCACCTAAAGGAACACCATCCATCCAACAGCCAAAACCCTGCCATGTGTGACCACGTGAGCGGGTACCAAGGGCAAGAGGCTCAAACCATAAAACCGCTCAAACCGAGGCCAAGAACAGGAAAGGCAGGGAGCCTGTGACCTCGTGTGTGTGTGTGTGTGTGTGTGTGTGTGTGTGTGTGTGTGTGGTGGCATCTGAAACGAAGAAACAGAACAAGCTGGCAGTTGTCAGGGGCGGGTGATGAGAAGGAGAAGGTGAAAGTTGAAAAAGGCCGGGGACAAAGGAAGAATGAGGGTTTTGGGGACAGCACAACCATACCCAGCTGTGCTCAGGATTTACTCCTGGCTCTGGGGCCACAGATCACTCCTAACGGAGCTTGGAGGATCATCTGGGTGCTGGGCACAGCACTCAGGTCCCCTGGAGCCAGGAGAGCACATGCCTTCCCCGCGGTACCATCTCTCAGGCCCCCACAGCCCCACTGCCTTGCGTGTCTGAAAGTCACTAAAAGGAGGAATCTTAGTGCATCTGATCACAAGAGGGAACGTGTGTGTGCGTCTGACATGACCAGGCCAAATCACCCTTGCTGTGGCCCTCACTTCCCAGTGTCCGTGCCAATGTCATTTTGCCTGGACTTACTGCTCCCTGTGGAGTCTCTCTCTCTCTCTCTCTCTCTCTCTCTCTCTCTCTCTCTCTCTCTCTCTCTCGGGCTGCAGGGACAGGCCACCTCCTGGATGGGGCCACCGGAATGTGGCACTGAGCAGACCAGGCTGGAGTGCCCGTTTGGCCCTGACAGTGAAAGTGTCGAGAACACTGACCTGGCATGGGGGGAGGCTTGCTGGGTGCCCATCTCAGACCCAGGTACCGAGGAAGGGGCAGCTCCACAGCCTCCACTTCCTCATGTGCAGAATGACCAAGTTGGCTCATGATTTTGAAGAACCGAGCAAAAAGCCAGCCCTCAAGACGTACCCCCGACAGTCCAGCACTTGCTTCTGTGACTCCACAGTTGCTGGAAGTGGCGGCATCTACTCTGGCAAGGGGAGGCTGACCCAAAAAGGACGCCTGGCTCCGTGTCGGTGAACCACCATGGAAACAGTGGCCCGGGGCCCACCCTCCAGCCTGAGTGTGTGGTCCCAACCAGGTTTGCATCCTTGCATACCACATATGCCCCCAACGGACCCCCTCCCCCCATACCAAGCTCTGCTCAGAGGTTCTCCCCACTACTGATGCATGCAGCAGTCCTCAGTGACCACGGAAAGGCACCATTCTTCAGCCTTCGCTGAAAGAAAATCCAGCCACGGTGCAAAGGGATAGGCCTTTGCAGCCCGTCACTCAGCTTCGAGGCTGAGTGGGATGCAGCCCTCACACACAGCAAGGAGACCAACAGGGCCAGTTCATAGGCGGAACCAGGAGTGGCTGCAGGCAAGGGAACAGAAAGGAGGATGTGCTGGGCCTTGGGGACTTTTTCAGAGGACATGGCATCTCAGACACGCACAATTGGGAAGCTTCCGGGTACCCGTGGTTCAGTTGCCCCCTTCAGGGGTGCGGCAGACCAGCTGTTGGTGACCCTCACAGTAGTCAGGATGACAAAGCCACATGTGTCCCCACCTCCATCAAGCACCAGCAGATGGGCCGCAGGTGACACAAGCGCCCTGCCTGCTGTCCACAGCTCAGGCCTCTGCAGCTTTTCTTCTTGTTGAGAGCACAGATTCGAAGTGGCAGAGCTATGAATGGCTCCAAACGGTCAGGGAGCATTTCAGTGCCTCGATCTTATTCGGGGCTCTCAGATTCTCAGGGGCATGCGAACAAATGAACACAGGATGTGTAGCCCCCTAGAAGCCAACGTGTCAGTCTTTCTTTTCATTCCCTTGTGCAGTTCTGGGGATCAAACTCAGGGCCTCACACATGCAAGGGGCATGCATGCTCTACCACTAGGCCAACTCCTTGGCCCACAATGCACCTGTTTGTTTGTTTGTGGGCTTGGGGGCCACATCCAGTGGTGCTCAGGGGTGCCCCGTGGTGGTGCTCTGAGAACCATATACAGTTTGAAACAGAACCCAAGTCAGCTGCATGCAAGGCAAGCACCTTCCCCTGCTTTCTCTCCTCTCTCTCCATCTCTGTGTGTGTGTGTGTGTGTGTGTCCCCTTCACATGTCTTTTGCAGACCCCTGAATGTACATGTCTGTACACACTGTGGGCCCTTGCCCTGACAGTTTCTGAAACATGAAGGATCCTGGCCCCACAGAATGAAATCAAAGCCAACTGGTCTTTGATTTTTTGTTTGTTTGCTTTTGGGTCACACCTAGCCATACTCAGGACTTCTGATCCTGTGCTCAAGGATCACCAAGCATCACTGGGTGTGCCCCCCCCAAAAAAAAACAATAAATAAATAGAGTTATGAACCTGTGCGGGTTAGGAGGCAATGCTACCGAGGCACCCAGAAAGCAGGGAAAGCAGGTGTCTGCTTCCCACCTGCCCAGGCGGGCGAGAGGTGAAGTCAAGGTGAGCGGCTTGGGGAGCGCCTCCCGGTCTGCAGAGAAGGCTGAGTCACCGTGACAGGACTTTCCAACCCCTCACAGTCCTTAACCAAACACACTCCAGTTTCACCAAAGAAGGAGGCGGGAGCACGAATGGGCAGACACACCCTGTCACGCCTCAGGGGTGCAGCTTTGCTCTCAGAATTGTGCTGTGGGCACACAGGTTTTCCCAGCAGAAAAAAGAGAAAGTCATCAATTTTATGCTTCCACTCGGGCTCGGACAATCTTTCACATGCTTAGGCGTTAGGTCAGGTTTGAACAATCATCTTCCGGGAGAGACAGTGAGAGGGTAAGTGGCTGGCTGTGCAGTCCAAGGACCCTGATGTGTGGTCCCTTTCACTGTTTCGGGTCCCCTGAGCAACTCTAGAAATGATCCCTGAGCACCTAAGTTAGGAGTAAGCCCCGAGAACTGCTGGTGTGGTCCGAAAGCCAAATGAACTATAGAATGATATGAAAGACAAAATCAATAACCATATGCCAGTGTCATTGTGGATTGGCAGCATCAGCATCAACTCAGGAGCGCCCCGGGAGTCCCAGGAATATGTGAATATGTGCCCTGGTCCACACAAAAGGGGAAGGAGAAGAGCTTGAAATGGAAACAGAAAGCACATTAGCCTTTGCAGGCTGCCACTGATGTAGCACTCTCTCTCTCTCTCTCTCTCTCTCTCTCTCTCTCTCTCTCTCTCTCTCTCTCTCTCTCTCTCTCGCTGTCTCTATTTCTGTCTCTGTCTCTGTCTCTCCCCCACATCATTTTGTGGTACCCCCGCGAGACCTCCCATTTCCATCCGCCCCAGGATGGATGGTGGTGGGCGCACGCCCAGCATTACTCAGCTTTTGTTTTTGTCCGGGTTGGCCGCAGAAGGGCTTCCTCCAAAATAGTTTATTCAATTCTCACGCATCTCTCTATACTATCTACCCATCACGGCCGGGTGAGAAGAAACCCTTTAGCACCCCGTCGACCGCCCCCCCACCCACCCACCCAAAGGCCAAAGCCAAAGCGGCTGGGCGCGGGGAGCGGGGCGGACCCGCAGCGGGGCGTTACGAAACCTCGGGGCACCGACGGCCCCTCCTCGGAGGGGAGGGACCGAGGCCCGGAGCCTCCTTCTCTTAAGTCTCAGCCCCCGGGAGCCAGAGAACCCGATTCCGAGCGGCCGCAGCCCCCGGGGACGGGCGTCCAGTGCAAGCGCGCGAGCCGGACACTCACTCGGCCGCTGGGCTCCGCGCCCCCCACGCCCCCCGCGCCCGACGATGTCTTCCTACAGCCGCGTGGCGCTGGTGACGGGCGCCAACAAGGGCATCGGCTTCGCCATCGCGCGCGAGCTGTGCCGGCAGTTCTCCGGGGACGTGGTGCTCACGGCTCGGGACGAGGCCCGGGGCCAGGCGGCCGTGCAGCAGCTGCAGGCCGAGGGCCTGAGCCCGCGCTTCCACCAACTGGACATCAACGACCTGCAGAGCATCCGCGCGCTGCGCGACTTCCTGCGCAAAGAGTACGGGGGACTCAACGTGCTGGTCAACAACGCGGGCATCGCCTTCAAGAGTAGGTGCGGGGGAGAGTGGTGTGGAGGGAGGGGGGTGTCCGGGGACGCTGGACCCTCCGCGAGGGACGTGCGCCGCCGCCCTCGCCGCCCGGCCCGGCTCCCCTTTTCCGTGCCCGCCGCCCCGAGGACCCGCTGCCGGGCAGAGCGCGCCGCGCCCGCCGGCCTGTGCGGGCCTGTGCCCAGCCGCCGGCCCTGCGCGGAACTGCCCGCCGCCACAGTTGGCCAGAAAAATCCATCTCCCGGGAGAGCGCGAGAGGACCACGCCCTGCCAAGTTCATCAGTTTTCCGTCTCGGGCCAGAAACAAAGTTGCACTTGGCTGCAGGGCCGGGGATGGGGCCGGCCGGCCAGGGCGCGTGCGTGGGGTTCGGGCCACCGGCGCGCGGGGGGTCTGGGCCTGGAGGCGGGAGGGGGCGCAGAGTTAGATAGGCCCGGACCCTCCTCCCCCGGAAACTCGCGCCTTCGCAAACAGACGCACGGGTTCGAGCGGCGTTTTTCTTCGCACCCGGGGAAAAAGAAATAGTCGTGGGGAGGGAGGGCATCCCGCGGAGCCCCGTTCCAAGGGGAAGGACGCGCTGTGCACGGGCGTGGGAAGAAACAGACAGGCGGAGCGTTTCCAGCCGACCGGGAAGGGAAACCTGAGCGGAGCTAGGAAAGGGAGCCCAAGGGAACCCCAGGGAGCCCCAGGGAGCCCTGGATCCTGGGCACGCGCCTCGCCCCCTAGCCCGCAGCTCAGCCGGCGGGACTTTCCAGGGTGCGAACGCGGAAGAAGGTGGGAGTGCCCGGAGCTTGTGGATTGGTGGACGCGCCGCCGCTTCCTTTCAGGGATGTATCCTGGAGAGACCCTGAGGGGCTCCGCGCGCGGGCTGGGCACGGCCACCTGCAGCCAGTGCCCAGGGCCCAGGGATTGCCTTCCAGGCTTCAGCAGCAGAGGCCGGCGCCCGGCCTCCCCGCGGGCTCCCAGCCAGCAGTCACTTGGAGCTCAGCCTCCGGACAGTGACAAGCTCTGGAAGCCCCCACCCCCAGATCTGAGCGCCCCGCATTCTGGGGATGGGGCCCAGAAGGTTGTGTCCCAGCAAGCCCTGTGGGTGATTCAGACAGCGCACCTGCCGCTGCTCTCGCAGTGGCTTTCAAACCCAGCTGCCTTCCCGGAGGGCAGCGCCAACGTGCCACCCGCCCACCCCACTCCACCCCAGCCCTGATGTTCTGTTTGTCACCTCTTTTTTGAAAGCCAATGATCCAACACCCTTCGACATCCAGGCAGAGAAGACACTGAAGACCAACTTCTTTGCCACCCGGAATGTTTGTACCGAGTTACTGCCCATCATGAAACCGCATGGTGAGTCCAGGCTGTGGGGGTGCAGGCATCAGAGAGGGGTGTAGAGGGGAGATCACCTTGCTGGAATCACCCAGGATGTGTGTGTGTGTGTGTGTGTCCTGCAAGAAGAATCAGAATGTGTGCATGTGTGCATGTGTCCGGCAAGAATCAGAGAGAGAGAGAGGAAGAGGGAGCGTGTGTATGTGTGTGTATGTGTGTGTGTTTGTGTGTGTGAGAGAGAGAGGGGGAGGGAGGGAGGGAGAGTGTGTGTGAGAGAGAGAGGGAGGGAGGGAGAGGGAGAGTGTGTATGTGTGTGTGCGAAAGAGAGAGAGAGAAAGAGAGAGAGAGAGAGAGAGAGAGATTACATTGCAGGGATCACCCAGGGATGCTATTTCTCTGTAGGAAGTAGGAACACAGAAGCTCCATTATTTTTCTCATAGTAACTGGCTTCTCTTGCTATGTAGCATCACTTTGCTATAAATAATGTATGTGGTGATGCCAGTTCCCTCTGGAGAATAAGGTGGTTGAGTCCCTACAAGTCCCTGACAGTGTCTTGTTCTTTGAGCTGCCTTGGTAAGACCTTGTCCACATTCCCAGGGGTGCTGGCCTAGTGGACCCACACCAAGCTCTTCTGGGAGATCGTATTTATTTGCAAATTCTCATGAATGACTATCCCTACATCCCTTTCTTCTTGGACTAAACTTGGCCTCATGGACTTAGAAAATCCTAAAGAAATGTCTTGGTTTTGGAGGTATCTTGCCCCCACTCTTGAGTCTTTGGTAAATGACTTTCAGAACTTTCCCCACAAATATTTAATGCATGCCTGCTGAATGCAGGCCTTGTGCTGGGCTGTCGGGCAGGAGCGCGGCCTTTGGAGGAGGAGGCTGTGGGTGGAGGGATGGGGCGGGGGGGGGGGGGGTGGGGTGGAGCTGGGGGAAGCAGGAGGTTTGCGTCCTTGAAGATCGCCTTCCTGAGGAATCTCCTGTGATTCTCAGGAAGAAAGACTGTGAATCAAGAGCCTCTCCAGGGCAGAAATCTTAAACTGGAAAGAGATGCAGGGGATTCTCTGGCTTGTCCCGTTCCTGCCAGGAACCTCCATAGTCATTCTCTGGCCTTGGTGCCCAGGAAGAGGGTCCTGGAAAGCTGTAGGGAGAGACATAGGCAAGTGGCCTGTCACATTCAGGAGCAGAGGAAGGGCCCAGGACCAAGCCATGGTGCTCTTGAACACAAATCGAAGCCAATACAGTTGCATCTTTTTGCTACTTTTTTATTTTCTTTTTGAGTCACACAAGGCGATGCTCAGGGGTTACTCCTGGCTTTGCACTCAGGAATCACTCCTGGCGGTGCTCGGGGAACCATATGGGATGCTGGGAATAGAACCGGATCAGCGGTGTGCAAGGCAAACGCCCTACCTGCTATGCTATTGTTCCAGCCCCTACCTTTTATTTATTTATTTAAAAAAAAAAAAAAGGAGAACCACCGTATTTTCTTCTTTTAATTGACTACATCTGGGCTCTTTCTAGGTTAGTACACAGACTGTGTCTTTTGGGATTTGGAGGGGGAGTTCACACCTGGCTCACTTCTTAGGGTTGCTTCCCGATGATGCTCAGTGGGATTATGTGGTGCTGGGGAGCAAACCAGTCTTGGTCGCTTGCAAGGCAAGAGTCTTACCCTTGGAGCGATAGCACAGCAGTAGGGCATTCGCCTTACAAGCGGCCAACATGGCCGACACGAGTTCGATTCCTCCGCCCCTCTCGGAGAGCCTGGCAAGCTACCGAGAGTATCTCGCCCATACGGCAGAGCCTGGCAAGCTCCCCGTGACGTATTCAATATGCCAAACACAGTAACAACAAAATCTCCAATGGAGACGTTACTGGGCCCGCTCGAGCAAATCGATGAACAGTGGGAGGGCCTTTACCTTTACCTCTCTCTCTCTGGCCCTTTCTGTTTTTGGACCACATCTGCTTTGTGCTCATCCCCACAGTGCACAGGAAATCATGTACAGGTGGGGATCAAACCCAGGCCTCCTGCAGGCAAACTGTGCACTCAGCCCTGGGTGCTGTCTCCCAAACCCCAGATCTTTTTCCTAGCTGCATTGTATTTCACCTCGAGGATCTCTTACCAGGACATGTCTCCCTGTGGGTTTTAGAGCCATGTCATTTGGTGGCTGCAGGGTAGAAAGAACTCTCCCATTTCTACACCCTTGATCACACGGCCAGGGAGTTACGAGCTGGCTACATTCCCCAGATTCCTTGACATTCTCACTCAAGTCAGGATTGTTTTTTCTAGTGAAGTGAGGGTTCAGTGCCAAATGATGGCTTTGGAAGATAAAAAGTGCCTCCAGAAAGGGAGGGCTCAGGTTTAGCTCAGAGCAGGTGAATCAGGCTTTCACAGCCCTCTGTATCAGAGTTCCCAGAGCAGGAATCTCTCATTTGTAACATGAAGATATGTATTTATGACTTTTAAGTGAACCTCACATTATCTGAACACCGGGCATCATTACTCTTTTTCCCCATTCAAAGCCAAGCTGAAATTAGCTTTATAACATCATTTTTAAATGCAAGTTAAGGAGCCAGAGAGATAGATCACGAGGCAGGGCGCTCCTTGCATGTGACTGACCCCAGTTTGAATTCCTGGCACCCCAGATGGTCCTCCAAGCACTGCCAGGGGGTCATTCCTGAGCACTAGCTAGGAATAGCTAGGAATAGCCCCTTAGGACTTCCGGGTGTGGCCCCCAAACAAAAGACAAAAGCAAACATAAAGATATATAGTACAGCAAGTAGGTACTTGCCTCTTGCTCGTGCTCCACCCAGGTCCATTCTCCGGCATCCCATACCAGGAGTGATCCCTGAACACAGAACCAGAAGTTATCCCTGAGCACCAGTGGGTGTGGCCCAAAAGAGAAACAAAAAGACATATTTGGCTTGATAAGATATCACAAACAGGGTTAAAACAAACTTCCTTCTTCAGCTGCGTCGGAGCATAGGGAGGTGTTTCACCACTAGGCGGCGCTCCTTGCCCAATCTTTCTAGAGCCGCCTGGTCCTAAACTATCCCCCAGGATCCCTACAGTGGATGCAGGCTCTTGGGACTCATCTGGCTATTGAGGCTCCCACTGTCGGTCCCTCCCCCCAGTGTACCCTCAACCCAGAGAAAACACCTCTTCCTCCGAGGCGTTTTATTTCCACTGAGGCAAGAGGGTGACTCCCAAATTCATTCTTCCTTCCTTTTCTCAGTAGAAAGCTCTGTAGCAGCCATGAGGTTGGAAGTGACTATGTTTAGAAAGCAGTGAATCCATCAGTCGAGTGGCATGCCTGGCCAAAAGGCTGCACTACATTCAGGCCAAGGAAAGCTGTGGCCAGAGTCATAGTACAGTGGGTGGGGCTCTTGCCTTGCACACAGCCGACCCAGGTTTGATCCCCCCAAGACCCCATACGGTCCCCCAAGCCCTCCAGAAGTGATCCCTGAGCACAGAGCCAGGAGTAAGATCCCTGAGCATTTCTGGGTGTGACCCCCAAACAAAATTAAATTAAAAGTAAGGAAAGCTGGGGCTGGAGTGATAGCACAGCAGGTAGGGTGTTTGCCTTGCACGCGACCGACCCGAGTTCGATTCCCAGCATCCCATATGGTCCCCCTGAGCACCACCAGGAGTGATTCCTGAGTGCAGAGCCAGGAATAACCCCTGTGCATTGCCGGGTATGACCCCAAAGAGAAAAAAAAAAGTAAGGAAAGCTGACCAATCTAGGCTGGAGGGAATATTACAAAACAAAGAAACAAACCAACAAAAAATGATCTTGAGCCTTCAAAAAAGGCAACTGCTATAGATAAAATAGACAAAAAGAAATAGAAGTAAATGCAATGCAGACTCCTTCTTGGTGCTTGGGCCCAAGAGGTGGTCCGGGAGGTAAAACACTTGCTTTGCATGTAGCTGATGCCAGTCAGAGAATGCCAGCACCATTATGGTCCCCCTTGCTTCCCTGGGGCCACTCCTGAGCACAGAGCCAGGAGAAGCTCTTGAGCACTGCCAGGGATAGCCCCAAATCCAAAAGAAAAAAAATAGATTTTTTTTTAAAGAATGAAATCTAGAAAGAAAGATGAAGGCTACGGTGGAGAATGTTTGAGGATACAGAACGCCACCAACCGCTGCAGGGTCAGAGGACCTTGTTATTTCAACCGTGTGGTGCAGTGTCTGTAGTGACGGAAGTGTTGAGGGGGGGAGATTCACTCTGTGAGGGGATCGCCACAGCCGTGTGTGAGGCGAGTGCCTTAACCCCTGTCCTACCTACCTCTCTGGCCCCTGCTCTTGCCTTTTTGTTTATTTGTGTGTTTTGCTTTTGTTTTTGTTTGTCTGGATTTGGGACTACATGGGCAGTGCTCAGGGCCACTCCTGGCTCTGTGCTCAGGGGTCACTCCTGGTGCTTTTTGGGGGACCATACCAATGGGACGGCAGGAATCAAACCCAGGTTGGGCTAGTGCCACTGTACTATGACTGCTCCAGCTGTTTTTTTGTTTTGTTTTGTTTTGTTTTAGGGGAGCAGTTTAGTGGGACATAAGGGAGGGACTATCCCAAAGGCATCACTTGACCTTGATTTGAAGCACTTCAAGATAAAAAGAGGGTTGGCAGGACCCTTGGAGCCAGAGAGAGCAGGTTCTCAAGCACCTGGGTCTATATGATGCGGGCAGAGAGGTAGTTTTGAACATCCCGAGGATGCTACTACCTGCCCATCTGGTCACTGAATAAGACTCAGTGTCCTTGGGTCCACTAACTGGAAGTGTGATGCTTAGTTTGTCTGATTTTGGTTGTTGGTGTGTGGGGAGTGTGTGGGGTATGTGTGGGGTGTGTGTGTGTGTGTGTGTGTGTGTGTGTGAGAGAGAGAGAGAGAGAGAGAGAGAGAGAGAGAGAGAGAGACCAGGGACTGCGCCCAGCTTGCTCCTCGCCCTGTGCTCAGGATAACCCATGGATACCCTTGATGGTGTTCAAGGAATCTCATGCCATGCTGGGGATTTGAACCAGGTTTGTGGCCATTGCACCCTCATGCCAGACAAGTGCCTTACACCCTATACTATCTCTCTGGCCCAAGTGTGCTATTTTGGAAATGTGTTCTCTTCTCTGAAAAAATGATTAAAAAAAAATTTTTTTTTCGAAGAAAACCAGAAAAAAATAGCACAGCTGTTAGGATGCTTGCCTTGTGTGCCACTGTCCCGGGCTTGATCCCCAGAACCCCATGGGGTCCCCCAAGCTTGAAAGGAGTGAGCCCTAAGTGCAGAGCCAGGAGTAAGCCCTGAGAACCACTTGGTGTGACCCAGAAACAACAAAGAAAGTCCCAATCATAGGCATCCTCTAAAGAGTTGTTTTCCCTCCTCTCTCTGGGCAAGGAGCCCTGCCCCAGAGCCCAGGGCAGGCTGGAGGCTGCTGCCCACCATGACGTCCCCCCACTGTGTCCCTGTGTCCCCGTTTCAGGCCGGGTGGTGAACATCAGCAGCCTGCAGGGTTCCCGCGCCCTGGAGCACTGCAGTGAGGAGCTGCAGGAGAGATTCCGCAGTGACACCCTCACTGAGGACGACCTGGTGGACCTCATGAAGAAGTTTGTGGAAGATGCCAGGAACGAGGTGCATGAGCGGGAGGGCTGGCCCAGCTCGGCATACGGGGTGTCCAAGCTGGGGGTCACAGTGCTCTCGCGGATCCTGGCCCGGTGTCTGGAGGAGAAGAGGAGTGGTGACCGCATCCTGCTCAACGCCTGCTGCCCTGGCTGGGTGAAGACGGACATGGCCGGTGAGCAGGGCACCAGGACCGTGGAGGAGGGGGCCGAGACCCCCGTCTACTTGGCCCTCCTGCCTCCGGATGCCACCGGGCCACACGGCCAGCTGGTCCGGGACAGAGTCGTGCAGACCTGGTGAAAGGGCCCGGGGCTGAATAAACATGTGTGGAATGCAGAGCCGATGAGCTGTGTGGTACTGGGCTAGGGGGGCCAGTTCCACCCTCCTGGAGAGAAGAATCTGGGTCTGGAATGGACCTAATGGAGTTGGCAAGGCCTCAAGGCTATAGCCCGGAGGATACCCACGTGACAGCATCTGTTCATGCTCGGAAGTGGCTGGGGCCACTCTGGAGGTCTGTTCTCGAGAGCCCCATGTCTGGAATGTTCATTCTTCAGGTGTCTGGCTGGTGGTTCTTCTGGGGTATATGTGTGTGGGGGTGGTGGTTTGGTGTTGAGAAACAGTTTTCCCTTGGTCCAGGCAGACATGGGACGAAGGATGAGGGGCACATGGAGAAACACCCTCTGGGAGCAGCCGATGGCTATTCACTTTATTGCCAAATACACACATATTTTATAAAGGGCTTTGGCTTACGGGAAGGTCTAATCACAGAACGTTCAGCATTATTGGCCTATCATCTTTCCAACTCTGCTTTGCCCCAGCCCAATCCCAATCAAGTCTAGATGCTGCAGGTAGGATGACTTGCTAAGCTTACGTTACAGTTTCTGTGTCTTAGGCGAATGTGACTAGGAGGTCGAGTGAGGCTCAAGGCCAGACACCTGATGCTGGCTGACACCCTATTCTTGCCAACTTTGCCCAGATACTCCCTCTTGTGAGGCTTCACGTCTGGGCTGCCTTGCAAGGTCAGGTCTTATCTGCTCCAGTGCCCATCACCATGCTCCACAGTTTGGACCATACCTGGGAATGCTCCGGGCTTACTCCTGGCTCTGTGCTCCAGGATTACTCCTGGCAGGACTTGGGATGCTATGCATATGGTGGCCACATGCAAGGCAAGTGCCCTCGCCACTGTCCTGTTGCTCCAGGCCCCTGGCTAGTTGCTTTCTTGAGGCTGCTAATTTGTCCTGAAGCCCGAGCCTATCCTGAAGACTGTGCTAGGAGTCTGTTGATCTGACGTACATTGCTAATGGTTCTTACACTTCCCAGGACTCCCCATCTGAAGGGCTGAAGAGAAATGCCTCTTTTTTTTTTTCAGTACAGTTTCCTCCATAAGGATTCTTCTTCTGGGGTTGGAATTCTGTGTTTCTGATCTGAGTTGGATGTTGCAAGGTTGGGGTGGGGGAACTTCTCCAGGGATAGAACAGGGAGTGCTGGGGACCGAGGGGCACATGAGGATCCAGCTCAGGGTCTCACACAGGCGAGGCGAATGCTCTGCCCTCCCAAGCCCAGTCCCCGGCCCCTAAGCACTGTGTTCTTTCCAGAGGGCTGGTCAGGGTACCTTGCCACTTCTGACTAGTTCATCCTGTTCATGGGTTTGAGCTGTGTCCCCACCCACTGGACCCCTTTGCTCTGATACCTGCGGATATAAGGCTCTTTAATCTGTCTCCACTGAGTCACTGCTGGGGCGACCTTTCAGATGCCCCCAGCACACCTCACATGATCCTGATGACAGATGACACCTTTGGCCTTTGCTACTTTCAAAGGATGTGAATGGGCCAGAATGATGGCACAGTGGGGAGGGCACTTGCCTTGCATGCAGCCAACCCAGGTTTGGTCCCTGGCATCCTTATGTGGTCCCCTGAGCACTAGCTGGGAGTGATTCCTGAGTGCAGAGACAGGAGTCACCTCTGAGCATCACCAGCTATGGCCCAAAAAGAGGATGGCTGGATTGGAGCAATAGCAGAGCAAAGAGGGCATTTGCCTGGCACGTGGCCCATCCAGGTTATATTCCTGGTCCCACATATGGTCCCCTGAGCACTGCCAGCAGTCAGCCCTGCGTGCAGAGCCACAAATAAGCCCTGAGCACTGCTGGGTGTAGCTGCAAAACCACACACACACACACACACACACACACACACACACACACACACACGAATAAAATGGGATGGGTTTAGGGGGGTTGTTTGGTTTTATTTGTTCTTTGGTTTGGGGGCCACACCTGATGATGATTAGGGCTTACTCTGGCTCTGTGCTCAGGAATGCTCAGGAGACCATACGAGATCCCAGGAGTCAAAGCAGAGTCAGTTCTCTGCAAGGCAGGTACCCTCCCCACTATACTGTCGCTCAGGACCCTGGGATGGATTTTTGCACCAGCCTCCTAAATTCTGGTTCTATCCAATAGGAAAAAAAAAAAGATTTAGATCTGGAGAGACCGTGCAGCAGGCAAAGCGCTCCCTTTGCGTGCAGTCGACCCTGGTTTGATCCCTGGCATGATATATGGTCCCCAGAGCACCACCAGGAATGATCTTTGAGCACAGAGCCAGGAATAACCTCTGAGCACTACCAGCCCCAACTTTCCCCCTCCTCATTAAAAAAAGAATTGGAGAGGAAAGGTCTTATTAAAGAAGATGTAAAATAGTGGACCAAACAGCACCAGGTGTCCCTTCTCTCTCTGACGTGGGCCTACAGCACAGAGCACCCTTCCACCTCTTGTTACAAAAATCTGACCAGGAAACAGATGGGTGCAGGAGAATATAATGGAGGCACCCCAGTATATTTTGAATGCGTGTGGGCTCTGCCTGGCTATTGCCGAAAAAGGGTCAAGCCCCAAATGCAACTCACAAAGAGCTTTCAGAGACCGGACCTGTTTCTGAGGAAAACACTTTGCATTTAGCATAGACGGTGGTTACTAATGTGACTGTTCACGCGTCCAATAACCGGTGCAATGACGGTTAATACATTTCAGTTCCATATGGGCATTTCCTAATTGTTCAAGCAACCTCATTCTGGCAACGCGGTCAGACTCGCTCCCTTGCCATGTTCCGATGGAAACTCTGATTTACAAGTCTTTCATCTCTGCTACAATGGCTCACTCAGACGTCCTGAGTTTCCCTCTTCAGTACCTAGTTTTCCTGCTTCACCTTTATCTCACTTCTCTAGCCTTTAAAGGGGGGCAAAGAACCGGAATCCCGCGGCAACCCCCTTGCATTTCTTCACCCCGCCCAGCTGTGCCCTCGTCAATCCTGTCTGCTCTGGTATTTCTCTCACGCCAGAGCCTCTAAATATCCTAGTGGCTTGTCCACCGCCAAACCAAGGACTGCCTTTCAGCTCATTTCCTGAGACTCTTTCCAGCCCTGCAGCGAAGCCCAGAGCATAATAGAGCCTGTCCAGGCACGGTCCATGCAGCCACCCACTGATCCTGCCCCTTCCTCCACCCTTTCCTCACAGCACCAACTCCTCTTGGCCTCTAGGCAGGAGACATTCACTGGGCCAGAGGGATAATACAGGGGGCCAGGTGTTCACCAGGCCTGCGGCTGACGCCCTGCCCAACACCACCAGGAGTGGTCCCTGAGCACCAGGAGTGAACCCTGAGCACTGCCAGTTATGGTCACTGAGCACTGCCAGGAATGATCCATGAGCACCAGGAGTGAACCCTGAGTACCACCAGTAATGATCCCTTAGTACCAGGAGTGAACCCTGAGTACCGCCAGTAATGATTCCTGAGCACCAGGAGTGAACCCTGAGTATCGCCAGTAATGATCCCTGAGCACCAAGAGTGAACCCTGAGTACCACCAGTAATGATCCCTTAGTACCAGGAGTGAACCCTGAGTACCACCAGTAATGATCCCTGAGCACCAGGAGTGAACCCTGAGTACCGCCAGGAATGGTCCCTGAGCACCAGGAGTGATCCTTAAGCACTGTCAGGTGTGGCCCAAAAACCATACAAACAATCGATGGGAGGTCATGGGCAATCCTCAGTGTGATCTGCTCAGCATCTTCTTCCCCAGATTGGCTCCTGCCTGCCTGCACCCCTCCCCCTTCCCTCCCTGCCCCGGCACCTACCCCAGCTGTTTGCAGCTGCAGCCACCACAAGGTGGCTTTGCCCTGCTCGCCTCTGTGGGTGGCCCCAGCTGAAGATCCTCTTTCAGGAGAGCTTTCAGGACAGCTGGGCTGGATTAGGGAAAGTTCAGAACTGTCTAGTGAGTGGCCATGGACCCACACCCGGCGGTGCTGAGACTACAGAAGGGTCGGAGGAGACCACCAGCTCCCTCTTGTGGCCTCAACACAGCCCAGTTCTCACCGGGATCCCTTGCCTGGTCCTGGGCTTTCTCGAGGTACAGTTCTAAGAGGTGTACATCCCTAGTTTGTGTTGCATGCTCATGGCTTGGAACCCAAAGGAATTCAATTAGTTTTCTGGCATGATATAGTCGAGGGGGGTGGCGGGTGGGGGGAGGTGCAGTCAGACTTGGAATCAGGAGGTTTGGGTTTTTTTTAATTATTATTATTATTATTATTTTTTTTTTTGCTTTTTGGGTCACACCCGGTGATGCACAGGGGTTCCTCCTGGCTCATGCACTCAGGAATTACTCCTGGCGGTGTTCGGGGGACCATATGGGATGCTGGGAATAGAACCCGGGTCGGCCACGTGCAAGGCAAACCCCTACCCGCTGGGAATCAGGAGGTTTTAAGAAAACCAACATCCTGAGCTGGGAACCCTTGGCATACTAGGCTGGCTGCCTCCCTTCATGCTTTCCTAACTCTGCTGTACACAATAGTCCTTTGGCCTGGGTCCTGATGCCGTTTCACACGAGGAAATAAAGACCCGGAGATGTAGGTGGACTTGCCAAAGAGAGCCAGGGTGCTACCCAAGTTTGACCACGAGGTTCCCTGGAACATCCAGCTTCACTCTTACGAGTCCAGAGACCACGGGCCACTGTCCGTTTTACACCACTTAACAGGTGTCAACATGAGGGTGGAACAGGGCTGGAGACAGAACACTGGGCTGAAGGCACAGGCGGTGCCCTCAGTTTAATCCCTAGGGTCCCTGAGTACTGCTGGGTATGATCCAGCACCCTCAGCCTCTTTTTGTCCGTGTTCCCTCAAGAAATGAACTGAGCTCTGGAAGTTACCTGTGTCAAGTGGGCGGTGCAGGTGCAAGTTGGAGGGTCTGTCCCAGCTGCGTTTCCAGGTAAGCGCAGATGTGGCCAATCTCCACAGTCCTGGCTCCCGGCCTGTCCCTGGGCGTCCCCCCCTCACCTACTGAACTGTGG